AGCGAAACAGCCATTGCTTCTTTTCATCTTTCTTTCATAACAACATGGCAGCTGGAATTAATTATTGGTCCCTGTTTTTAGTCAGTGACAGAGACAAATTTCCAATTACTGATAACAGATTGAATAAGGTGACTGGCGAGAGAACTTATGCTGTCATTATTAAATCGAATGAAACTGGTTTTCATTTGTCGCTAAATTAAAACAATTATTCAATGCAATTAGTCTCCATCATTAAAATGAGGCCATCACAGGAAAAGACGTTGGAAATTGAATGAAACATGGCGAGGCGAAGCACTTATAGCTACAATCACCGGTGGTTTAATACAATTACTTCGCTCATTGCAACATCATCTATGCAATTTATTTTTCTTGGTGAAATATCCAGCAAACGAATGCCTTGTAAGTTGATTATGAATTTACAATGAAACAATTCATTGCCTCCTGAATTCTTGAGTTCCTTACGCGGTGATATTTTAAACGAAGCTACCATGTAGCGATCGATAATTAGGCATTCAATTGAATGTTAATGATTCTTGTAACGCGTTTTTTTGGTTTTTTTTTTCATATTCGATATGACACGACAGCATTAGGATCAACTAGCGATTGTCCCACGGGGTGGCTGAAAGAGTTGTTTAATTCTTATCGTTATCAAAGATCAGTGTTCGAGCCCAGGTAAAGAAAATTTTCGAAAACGAATGCATGCTTTCCCATCTCAGATTAACAGCGTAAGAAAGCATTACTTTCACCTCGATTCCGCTTTAGATAATATTCCCAGGACAACCGAAAGTGTACTGGATCCAACTCCAGCACATTCTCATTCCTCTTGTAGGAACCCCTCTTTGAGTGACCAATTCTTCAGTGTGTGGCCATATTTACCACGCCAATTCTGGGTTGGCGAGGCTATTTAATTAACAGTGGGAGGTTTTGAATTAGTTATCTTTCTCCTATATCGGTTGCTACCCAAGGCTACAGGACCCATTCTTTCTTGCTATTTACCCATAGGCGTGGGGCACCTCGAGGTGGTGTAATGGTTCGCAAGCTTGTCTCGCTAGAATAATTACGTCTGAGTAGTGAGTTCGATCCTCACTGGGTGCCCCATACTTTCAGCCTTGTGCCACATCCGAGCTACACTTGGATAATCGCTATTTACCCATAGGCATGAGAACAGATGGATTCATACCTTTTCCCAAGGTTACTATCATGTAACGAGCCCGATTGAAATTTGACCTCGGTTCTCTGATTCCTCAATCTGACCAGCTATTATTTACTCCTCCGTGCCTCCAAATATCTCCTTGTTTAGATAATTGGATACGACTTCTGGGAAATATTTCATATACTAAGAGGAACAGAGAGAGCGTATGACACATATACAAGTTTTGGTGTCGATTTGTAACCCAGAAATTCATTGATTAGTATGATTTCCTGCTCAATACAGCTCAGTTTCGATGTCTTTAGCATAAAATTTCGATGTAAACACTTTTTATTCATTCACCCGATTTTCCTCTCTCTTATGTAGCCTAATATTTTAAAAGTGTTGATCTAGATTTTCTATGATGGTATGCATTCAAATAACTCTGCCAACATGGACAAATATGTAAGATATCCCATCGAAACATTATGATAACTTACCAACACACACACACATATATAATCGACTCTCCCGTCGCGTTCGACGTATGAGGGTCAGGCCGATAAGTCCCCAGGAAACCAACATCCCGACACCGGCACATGAGATTTGTTTATAGTGGTGAAGGCCTTGTGCAGGACCAGCCACACTTTTTGGAGGGACGAATACAGAAACCTGGTGCACCGAATACATGCCACAAGGTTCCCAAACGACCCTCCGCAGGTTTTGAATTCAGAGTTGTCCTTCTCCTAGACCAGTTGCCATCCAAGGCTATAGAACCCAGTCTGTCCTGCTATTTTACCCATAGCTGGAGGGAGATGAAGAGGATACATACCTTTCCCAAGTGAATGTAGTGGATTCGACTGGAATTCGAACTCGGCTCTGCGATTCCTCAATCCAAGCCAAGCACTGCTCCACCCACTGCTCCACACACACACACACACACACACACACACACACACACACACACACACACACACACACACACACACACACACACACACACACACACACAACACACACACACACACACACACACACACACATATATATATATATATATATATATATATATATATATATATATATATATATATATATATATATATATGATAAAATAAATACAAATTTACTTATATTTATGGGTTAAAGTGCTCAACATCAGGGATAGAACGTATGTAGGTATAAAAGTGAACATTTAAGTCAAAACCCAGAGGCGAGTGCCCGTTTCGTGATTTAACACAATCGTCAGGCCATATTGGTGGTGTTTTTTCTCGACTATTTATATATACAGATTGGTGATGCATTGTGGGTACTTTGATGGGCGGTGACGGTTATGATTCGAATTATTCTAGGGGTTATTGCGTGTATTGTTTGCGTGTGAGTTTAATCTATATACCGTAGAAAAATATGCATTAAACTTATGGACAAACACTTCCCAACGCATCAAGCACTCTCTGTAAAAATCAGCTAGAGAACATGAATAATAAAAAAGCATAGCAGGCAAACAAAGAAATCACGCACACAAATTACTTACAGAACAAAAATCGAGTTTCCCTTAAACGGCAATTTAAGTTGCCGCTGGTTATTGACCTCAGTATCCACACACACACACACACACACACACACACATGTGTGTGTGTGTGTCTGTGTGTGTGTATAGAATGTATGATTGGCCATCCCACAAAATGTTTAATATATAAAAAAAACAAAAAAACAAACAAATTGTGGTAGGGATGTTTTTAATTTCCGAATACGGTTAGCACATTGAAAAACTTAAAAACATCCCTACGACACAATGATACATACACAGAACGCACACACTCAACTAAGCTGAAAAATTGAATCATCCTTGATAATGGCTAAAGGTATAGCCGAAAGCGACCGGAAATATAAAACACTCGGACAGTTCTTACACACCATTTGTCCAGAAAAGAAAGCTCTTGTCAGAACACAAGAAAAATTAAATAAAAAGTTCAACCGTAGTACCTTGTCTGTCGTTTTTAATGAAACATGCATAAAGGAAGGGTTGCTGCCTAAATATACAACTATATATATATATATATATATATATATATATATATATATATATATATGGATGGTTGGTAGGATGGATTCAACTGTATATATATATATATATATATATATATATATATATATATTACACATACACACATATATGTTAACAAATCGGTAGAGTTTCGATCCCGGCTTTAAAAACGGATATCTCATCACACGGATGAGCTATGAGTCAGGTTGTCTGTGGATCTCTGTCTCTGTCTTTCTGTATATATATATATATATATATATATGTGTGTGTGTGTGTGTGTGTGTGTGTGTGTGTGTGTGAAATCGAGGTATCAATGTGTAAACCTAATCAGAACAATTACCATAAAAATATTTATAGAAAGAAAGTCAGTTCACTGTGTCGTGCTGGATATTTTTCTTATCTTCAGAATCTATCATACATATCTATAAGTCTACTATTCGTCCATGCTAAGAATATTGCTGCCACGAATAGTCTAGTGCCCTTGCTATTTATCTGGAGCTCCTTGATAAGATCCAAAGAAGAATCAGCAATAAACACAGTCCTGATCTGGCAGCTCGGTTTTAGTCACTTTCTCAGCGCGATAAGGTTGCTACCCTGAATATTTCCTATAAATATTTTCACGATAATTGTTCGGATGAGCTCTACGTTATAGTACCCAAACTTATTGAATTTAAGCCCAGTACTAGACTGGCGTCGAGATCTCATCAATTTACAGTTCAGCTGGGTAGATATAGCCTTAAATTCTATGCTAACAGTTTCTTTTCTCGCACTTCTCGCTCGTGGAACACTCTACCAGCTCCATGATAGCGAGCAAATTTTAATTTGCAAAAATTTAAATGCAATGTCAATCACTATCTACTGTCCTCCTGATAACTCTTTTGTTGTTCCTACTTCCTCAATAATCTTGTAATACCCTGTTTCTCAGAGGATTTACGGCATTGCTCGGGGTGAAATCGATTTAAAAAATATATATTTTTTCATGTCTCTTAATACTTTGCTTAGCTTTTGGAAGACATTTTTAGCTGTTCCCAAGTGGTTTCTTTTTTTTTTTTTTTTTTTTACATTTTCCGTCCTCTGTAAAACACTTCCCAGATATTTAAATTTTTCTACGTGCTTAATGTTGTTATATCTGCCTTTTGTAAATCCCATCTTGGTCTCTTCCTATTGTTAATAACCATACATTGTCTTCTTAAAATTGATTATAGCGATTAATTCATTCATATACCTCTTAGGTTGCATCGTTATAGATACACACGCATATATTTAACCACGTAAATATATTTACTTAGCAAATGATTTTTATTCAATCATTCTCTCTATCTCCGGCAGTCACACATACACAGACGGCTCGAGATTGAGAAACACGTAAGAGGAGGAGGGAGTTCTTCAACGAGAGACAGATACGTCACAATGAGATACTAATGACACTTCCTATTTATGTTGTTGGAATTAATGAAACGTCAACAGAGTGCTATAGCAAATACAATTACACGACTTCATACTGAAATAGGCACATCGAGTCGCCGGCAAACCAATTTACGCTGACGAAACGAACCATGTGGTCCACTCCTTCCCCCACTCCTCAATCTCGCTTTATTTTCCAAGAATAGGATGGTTCGACAACAGTCGACATGGCAGTATGCGTAATGAGACTGTCGGGCATTAGGATTAACATTTGCTTGTAACTGATTTTGGTCGTTGCAGGAACAGAAAGAAAAGTGGCGAAGAGGGCAATAAGAAATATGGTAAGATTGAAGAGGAAACGTTCAAGAAGTGAAAGAGAAGCTAAGAGAGGAATTAGAGAAAGAAAAAACGAGAGAAGAACTAGAAAAAGAAAGAGGAGAAGCAAGAGAAAAGAACGAAGTAGAAGTAAGAGAGAAGGGAGGAGTGAAAATAGAAAAATGCGAAGAAAAGCGAGAGAAGAAGTGGAAAGAAAGGAACAGGAAATAAGGCTGAGGAGAAAGAAAGATGGAGAGGGGAGAGAAGAGATGGATTTGGAAGAGGATAGAAGGAAGAAAACGTAAGTGAGAAAAGAAGGGGGAAGAGCAGCGATACGAAGAAGAATGCGGAGGGGAACGACAGATGGAGAAGGAAGAGCGGGGATGTAAAAAGAAGGAAGAGGAGAGTGAAATGAGAAAAATGGAATGGAAGGTGACAGAAGAGATGGAAATTACTTAAAAGAAAATTACAGAGAAGGATCAAGAGACGGGAGGGAAGAGGAGAGAATGGAGAAGTAAAGGAAGAAAAGACAAGCGGGGAAATGAGAGAAATAGAAAGAGAGAAGCTAGAGGGACTGGACGGTCAGACGGAGAAGGCAAAATTGGAGACGAGTAAAGAAATGGACAGGTAAAAAGCGAGGACCAAGAAACAGTGAAATGGAAGACGAGAATTAGAGAAGGAGTAAAAGGAAATAGAAGGGGAGTAGAAAGTGAAAGGGAGAAGTTGGAGGCGAGTAAAGAGGGAGAAATGATAAGGGAAATGAGAGGGAAAAGGAGAGGACCAAGAAATAGTGGAAATGAAGGCGAAAATTAGAGAAGGGGAAAGAGGGAAAAGAAGGCGAGTAGAGAGTGAAAGGGAGAAGTTGCAGGCGAGTAAAGAGGGAGAAATGATGAGTGGAAAAGGGAAGGGAAAAGGAGAGGACTGAGAAATAGTAAAACAGAAGACGAGAATTAGAGAATGGGAAAGAGGGAAAAGAAGGTGAGTAGACAGTGAGACGAAGAAGGCGAAGCTCGAGGCGAGTAAAGAAGAAGAAATGATGAGTGGAAAAGGGGAGGGAAAAGGAGAGGACTGCAAAATAGTAAAAGGGAAGAAGAGAATTATAAAAGTGGAAAGACGGAATAGAGAGTGTGTGGAATATGAGAAGAAGAAGGCGAAGATGGAGGCGAGTAAAAAAGGGAGAAATAGAGAAGGTAATTGAGAGAACTAAAATAATAGTGAGGTGTAATGCGATAAACAAAAATGGGAAAAGAAGGAAGAGAGAATGAGTGGTAGGTGGAGCGGAGAGAGGTGAAAATGGAGGAGATTAAAGATGTAGAAATGAAGAGGGAAAAGAAATCGTAAAATGTGATAATTAGAAAAAAAGGGAAAAAAACAGACAAGAAAGAGAAAGGAAGATTTTTTTATCCGTTTCACCCCAAGCAAGGCAGCAGAGCCACTAGCACATAAAGAGTTACAGGGTGTGGAGGAATTAGGCTAAGAAACATTAGTAATGAGTATAAAGAGTAATCAGGAGGACATTAGATAGCGACTGACATTGCATTTAAATTTTTGCAGATTAAATTAAGCTGGAATGCATGGACTCGGAGGGGAGTTCCCCGAGGGAGATGTGCGAGTTACGGCTAAATCTAGCCAGCGCAACTGTACATTGATGAGATCTCGGCGCCAGTCTCGTATTGCGCCTAAATTCATACGTTCTAGGTATCATGGCAAAGAGATCACCCGAACAATTACCCTGAAAGTATTTATGTATAAGTCACAAAAAGGTAACCTTATAGCAGTGGGCAAACAACATTGCCTGTTTTTCTTGGAATCTTATCACGGAGCTCCAGGTGAATAGCAGGGGCATCGGACCATATATGGCAGCAATATTTTAAGCATGGACGATGGTATAGATATAGGTATGCAAAATAGATTTCTCTCGATTTAACTGAGAAAAAACCCTCCCGCACGCGACAGTCAACTGACTTTCTTAGCAGCTGACGGAAAAATGGATTCAATATAGTCTTTCCATTTCCTGTCAGCTGAGAACATTAGCCAGAGATGGCACAAACAGTCACTTTTCTGGAGGTTATCTTCATCCATGCTGATGTAAGGCAGAGAGGAGTCTCTCAGATGATTTAAAGAGAGAAGTTTAATTTTGGAGGTGTTTAAATTAACAAGCCATCTTCAGCATCAGTTAACAACGGAGTTCAAGTCGTTTAGGACATCAGATGCCTTGTCGGACTGATCACCCTTACAGCTGGAGTAAATGGTAGTGTCATCAGCGTAGATGCCAAGTTGAGAGCTGATATCATCGGGAAGGTCATTAATGGAACTAACAATCAAAGTAGGACAAAGGTTGACCCCTGGAGGAAATCCGCATTAGCATGAAAGGATCTAGACGAGTGACCATTCAGGATATATCAGTTCTCCTATATGACTGAGAAATGGATTCAATATAGTCTTTCCATTTCTTGTCAGCTGAATACGATACTCCGAGAAGACGCAATGAGTCCCTTTCCTGGAGTTTAGCATCAGCCATACTGACGGAAAGCAGACAGGGGTCTCTCAGATGATTTAAAGTTTAATTTTGGAGGTGTTTAAATTAACAAGCTATATTTAACAACGGTCTTGCGGTCGTGTTCTACATCAGCTGCCATTTTGACCTTGTCTGGCTAATCAGCCTTACTATCGAATCAAGAGTAAGTGGTAGTGTGGTCAGCGTAGATGTTAAGAGCTGATGTCATCAGAAAAGTTGTTAGTGAAGACTGAACACAGCGTGGGACCAAGGATGGAGCTCTGGATGACACCAGACTTAGTATGAAAGCATCTAGACGAGTGGCCGTTCAGGGTAACGTTTATTTCACGATTTGACAGGAGCGACTGGATCAGCACAAAAATGTGCCCGGAGATACCGTAACTTTTCAACTTGTGGGGAAAACCTGAATGCCAGACCCTCTCTAAGGCTTTCGAGATGTCCAATGCTACAGCCTGGGCTTCCCCGCTTTTACCTAGAGCATGGTAGACTTTTTTCCGCAGTTATCGTCATTACATCAGCAGTTGATCTGGAGAATCGAATGCCCTATTGCATGCCTGAGAAAGTCCCAATGATGAGAGATGATGAACCTATTCAACTTTGAATAGGGCCTCTAGGATTTTCCCGAAAATAGATAGAAGGCTAATAGGTCGTAGTAGAATGAGGCGGACGGTTACTTAGAGAAAATGGAACAGACAACGACTTCTAGCAGGCAGTAAAGTAGGAAGATGTGAGACATTTATTATACATTTTAGAGAGAACAGGAGTCAGTTCTGCAGCATGCTTCTTAATGATTATTACAGTGATACCATCGGGTCCACATGCTTTGTGGGGATCAATGTTAGAGAAGATGACAGAAACCATGGAAGGGCTTGTTCAGATGCGTGTGATGTGTGTCGGAGAGGAATAGAAAGTTTGAATTATCAGAAGGTTTAAAATTGTGTGTGTTCAATAATCTTCCATCCACAACAATTAATACAAGATAGAGAAATAATGATTCATGAACATCTTATTTCAAAACGTAACAAATGAATTTATTAGTGTTTGGTATACATGCATGAATACTGAGTGAAAAGGTCAGACAGAGTCGTGTCCCTTAGATTAGGTAAATAGTTGTACCTGAGTTCATATTATGAGGAAGTAATATTGAACTGTAGTTTAGAAGAATAAAGTTTCTTTAGCATGTTTGGAATTGTGTATTGCACAAGTTAGGTAGAGTACAGAGATAATACTTGCATGAATTAAGTATTGTTCATTTAACGTCTGACTGGATCAGTCGAGACGGGAGTTCCTTTAGGGTCACATTTTGACGGCGTGTTGAGATGTACGAGTGACGTAGATAAGTTAGGCGCGAGTCAAACAGAGCAGGAACAGAGAGAGATGAAAAGAAAAGAAACTACTAGGGAGTTTACACGTGTTCTGTTTTGGTCGTGTATCACGTGGGAGGCTCAGAATTGACTTGGCGCCTAAATTGACTCTGCACGTGAGAGCGCTCTGATTGGTTGAAACTGACCAATCAGCAAGTGGGATGTACTGTGATTGACCAATGGTTTCTCGTTGATATTTTGCATGAAAGTAGGATGTTACTTACCAGATAGGAAGAGTGCATTTCCTTAAAAGAGGTAAGGCTGGTTTGTTGTGGCAGATTCAATCAACAGATATTCAGTTCTAAGTGGGAAGTTAAGCAGGGATATTCCAGATGAGTCGAGAGTAGAAATTGAGGAGAATTTACGAGCAAAGCATTCAGCTTTATCAGCAGCGGAGAAAATTGATTGAAGAGGAGCGTAAGGTCCTCCTGATCACTCTTTTATCTTTATACTCATTACTAATGTTTCTGCACTTGTTTAGTACCCTATTACAGAGCCGCCAGTAATCCCAAGAGCCAAAGTTGTTAGAGACTATACGGTGCCCCATTCTCTCGGCAAACAGGGACTTTGCTTCTTCTATGACCCACTTACGTTGATTGCGAGAAGTAGCGAAAAAGCACCTGTTATGACAATAGCTGTTTCCCTGGTATCGTCGGAAATAGTGTTTTCTATGTGCTATGGCAACCGAGCATGCTGCTGTGATCCATGGCGAGGAGTGTGGTTTCAGCTGGCATTTCCCAGAAGGGATGAAAGCGTCCATACTGGCTTTGACCCAAGAAGAAATCTTAGTGGCGCAATTTTTATTTGAGAGTTAGAAGATGTCAGTCCAAGAGGTGTCACGAAGAAAATACCGGAATAAGTCACAATCAGCAAGCTCGTAACGTATTATGTATAGGGGGGGGGTCCTGTTTGATGAGTGCTTGGAACGAGATATAAATAACTACCACAGAGATTTGAGTAAGGTATTGAGCAATTTGGGAGAAAATTAATGTCTGCATACCGGCAACGATAGTATCTTTAGAATGTTTCAGCCACGTGGCATGGTGATAATTAAAGTCACCGTGGACAAAGATGTTCGCAGGTGGATGGAGAGAAAGTTCCTTTTCGATTCTGTCAGCTACCGCGTTTAATATACAGCAGTTTTGGGAATAGGGGCAGCGATAAAGGAAAAAGAGATAGCTGACAGAGTTTAGTTGCGAAAGACGGAAGCACGTGAAAATGTCGTCAGTGACAATTCCCTGACCATCGGAAGATTATCACGTATATAAACAGCAAGCCACACTTATGAATACTGGATTTCTTTCGGCAGAGGGGAAGATATCCTGAAACATAAATTCATTGGTAGCAATGGAAGAATTCAAGTTGGTTTCACAAAGAGTGACCGTTCCAAGATTCTCCGCTGAAGTTGTTGGAAGGGATACCACGAATATTAGAAAAAGAAAGAAAAAGAAGGTAAAGTATGACGCGAATACAAATAGAAAGAGGGCAAGAATGCATGAATTAATATTAAAAGAAAGGTGATAGGAAAATTAGAACAATGGAAAAAGGAAGGAAATAAGTAGAAATAACAGATAGATTGATTGAATGATTTGTTTTTTTAAGGCTTATCAACCATTTGCAGGTAATTTAAAGCCAGAAAATATTTCAAAACTGTAAGAATATTTGGGAAATAATGATTTACTGATACAAATCCTACTAATTAAACCAAAGCAGTGGTGAGAAGTATTGTATTCGTACCTTTACCAAGAGTACTTACACGTAAGGAAACATAACGAACAAGACTGGAATTGGAACTTATAGTTTCGGAATTCTGGTGCACACTGCTAGCGGAGCGGGCATGTTTACACTGTAACAACAGCAAAAATTACTGGCGTGATCAAGCTCAAACTTCGACCACTTGACCACAAAACTACCAACTATCGACATAGAAGTTACGGCTAAATCTAGCCACCTCATATACTGCAGTTTTGGGAATACGGGGGAGCGATAAAGGAAAAAAGAGATAGATGATATATTAAGAAAGCCAAAGAGAAACTTAGATTTATTATTGGTATTTTAGCAATCTGATACGCAACTGACACCGTGTGGATGACAGACAAAGAAAACTACGGCAAATCCGAAACAAGCTCGTAAAGGAATACGGGAAGAAGAGAATATCAATTGTAAAATGACAGAATGCCTAGTTGTCTGTTAGAAGAGATACGAACTTCAACTGGCAATGATCAACATCAAGCAAATACAAAAATGTTACTCTCTTTCTCTCTCTCTCTCTCTCTCATGATGACGACAAAGAGTGTGGGCTGGCTGGCTTGTGGAGCAAAATATATCTTTCAAGTCCTAAATATCAAATTCCGAATCAGATAGATTTCGTTAGAAACAAATAAAAAAAGTGTTGTACTGCTATGTAATACTATTCCTTCTAAACTTGAACTGATTTCAAATATAAATTAATTTTAAGCGTTTAATGATTTTTCTCCATTTCTTTCAGATTTGGCGGATATACCTTCTGTTTATCTCGGAGTTCTTGACAAGATCCAGAGGCGGATATGTAATATAATTGGCCCTGATCTGGCATCTCGTCTACAGTCACTCTCTCACAGACGCGCCGTCGCCTCTCTCTGTCTTTTCTACAAATACTTTCATGGTAATTGCTCCGATGAGCTGCTTTCACTGGTTCCCAGACTTCATGAATTCAAGCGCCCGACGAGGCTGGCATCCTGCTCCCACCCTTACACTGTCGAAACTTTTAAATGTAGCCGTCTCTTCTACTCCAATAGCTTCATAACTCGCACCTCTCGCCTGTGGAACACCCTTCCTAATTACTGTTTCCCTGAGAGCTATAATCTCCAACTATTCAAATGTCAATCGACATCTCCAGTTACCTTGATCTATCCACTATCCCTCTCCTCATCCTTTCTTCTATCACTCCTATCTGCTCTTGCTCCAAATCTTCTGCAACCTCCTGCATCCTAGTGGCTTCACGCCTTGCTCGGTGTGTAATGCTTAAAAAAAAATTGGTCGATATTATTTTTCAGACATAATTGTCATGACTTAAATAATCTCATCCAATAATTTCCATCAATAACACTGATTTATTTACTGAGTTTGCTCCGTTTTAATGAAACACCCTTATATATAATCCGTCTTAATGAAACACTTTTTATATGGAGGCTAATGTTGGACAATTACCTCACATATTAAAATGAGACTTGAGGTATTGGTGATAAAGGTGGATGCTGAGCATACTAAAGACGGAACTTGTGGGTAGTGAGAATGCTTTTATTGATTGGTCGGTTGATTTTTGTTTTACATCAATTTTTATATGTTATTTAATGACGAAATCTAAATATTTTTAATGCAATTCAACTACAGATATTTTTTTATATAATTTTATACATTTCAGGGGAAACGTCTGTCTTTTAGATGCATTATTTGTAAATGATAAAATGTATTGATGGGAACTTTTTATAAAAAAAAATATAGCTGGTAATTTTATTATAAAATGTATTTTTATTGTTTTTTTAGTTTTGTGTTGACGTTCATGTTGCTATAAAAATGTTATGCTGGATATTTTATTTTAATAAAAACGAATTGCTGGTATTTTTTTACCATAAAAAAATGTTTTTGGATGGAGTCTACTATTTGCTCATAGCTGGGATCCTAACAGTTGATACCACATCGAGGACGTTTTATGGAAAATGGCGGCCAAAAGTATACTTATGCTTCGAATTAGAAAGAAACAGTTAACGCTTTTGAACATATAAAGAGGAAACAGGGCGTGGATAATTTGACAGTCACAGGACGTAGGGAGGCTGTGAAAACGTCGAATAACCTACTTATCAACATTTTGTAAATGGATGGTAGGGCAGAGAGGGGAAGGATAGTAAACAAGCATTGGATAGAGTTATAAAAGTTAAGGACATTTTGGAGAGCCATGATCGCATAATTCCTGAACTGAAACGGAACATGAAAGTAGAATATAGTAAATTGAAATATATATGTATCTAAAGTCTTTAATACTAAAAGCTAATTATTGCAAGGGCTTCGGCTTCATTTAAATGGTATGATTAAACTGGTATTAATATAAGATTCGTCTGCATACTTCTGAAATCTTCGCTGGTTACGTTTGCAGGAAATTATGTACTTTCACCAAGAACAGGTAACTATGTTCCGCTCCACATAGTTTCAATGTAAACCTTTGATTCTAAGGGTGTTGAAGATAAATGTGCTTGAGCAAGGATCTTCAACGGTGATTTGCTAGCAACCCTATAAATCTGGTGTATTCGCAAAACTAACCGCCAGCCATTAATAGAATGTCACACTCGCAACAATTAAGGATAATTTAAGGATTTTTTTTCATCCCTCCCAAGCCTCTTTCAGCTATCAGTGCAGGCAAGGTGATCAGATATGTGGCTTCCTGTTTAATTTGTCTTCAACTGTGCGTGCCAAATTCTCTAAGCCCTCATTCGCCATTTCAGCTGATTTTTACTCATTCTGAGTATGTGTGTCCTTTTTTTTTTCATTTTATTTGTTGGTTATAAGCTCTATACTTGCATTCTTTTCTAGAAGCATATTTCTGCTGCCCCCGGTCTTTCCTTCAACTGTGAGGCAATTCCCCAATATTCTCTACTATTTAGGAGGATTGGTAATATATTGCCAACACTATTTACTTTGTGCTTCTGACGAAATTTTCCTGTTTCTTAAACTTCTAGTTCTCGTGTAAGCTCCTATATCTGGTTAATAATATTCAAAAAGAAAGCAATAGTAAAAAGATTATTTAAGAAAATGTTTAATCACATAGATTAATAATACAATAATAGCAGAAATATAGTTAGCGTGGCAATGCATACGACATACTTTACGACTCATGTTCTTAGGAGCGGACTTTTCACTGCTAATCAATAGAAGAGTGTATATTCAACAATTTAGTGCAGGAAGGTCTTTTTACACAACTCTTAATACTTTGCTTAGCTTTGGGAATGCATCTTGATAACACTCCTGTAGTGTTATGCAATGTCAAATGGCAAAAAAATTTGGGTAGTCTCATCAAAGAGGATTAAGAGATATAAAGCTGACAAAACGTATTTCCTTAACGATTCCTGTGAACTATATAGGCAGACCAAGTGAAAGGCTATTAAGTGTTGAGTAGAGTTGGATATAGAACTTTAGCAAACAGACAAAAATATTAATATTATTTTAATGTATGATGCCACTGCTTGGACATTAACTAAAACGCTAGAGTTTAAGTTTGATGGAAACTACACTCGGATGCTGAGTACTATTAACATCTCTTGGCGACAACATCCAACTAAATCACAGCTCTATGGACCCATCCTTGATATTTCTACAATCTTACGTGAACACAGAATCCCCTTTATGGGACACTGCTGGAGAATAAAACAAAAACGCGTGGGTGATCTTCTGTTCTGGACAGCTAGCCATGGAGCAAGACGAAATGATCGCCTAGGAACCACCTACATTCACCAGCAATGTTATGAAACACCTCCCTAATGACCTTTCGATGTTGATGCTGGGCCGTGATTGTTAGCGTGATAGACTAATGAATGTCCGAGGTAACTTAACCAAAACGAAAAAAAAAAATGAACTGCTAGAGTTGTAAAAGAAAGCGATAAAAACGGACCATCCATCAACAGAAAGTATGGTCATTACGGAGAAAAAATCCCAAGATGCGAGTTATGTATCGGAGATATAAACATCAAGCCGGTGTGACATGTCAAATATCTAGAAAGCGTTTTAAAAGGATGGAAAATGCGACCCCGAGATCCGAGGACGCATTAGACTAATGAAAGAAGCATTCGAAAGGCTAAGCAAGGTGCCGAGTACCTTGCTTCAGTCACTTATATGCCATGCATAATACACGATTCGATCCATGACTGACGAGGCAGATTTTTCCCGCAGAAGGTTGCCATTTCTTTCTACGGTAGATCAGTTGCCATCCAAGCCTATAAAACTCGGTCTGTCCTGATATTTACCAATACCTGGGGTAGAGAGGAGAAGAGGATTCATTCCTTTCCCAAGGGTATAAGCATGTAAGTGAATTTCAGTCAGTTATGTGCCATGCGTGATACACGCTTAGGTGATCAGGTATCTTTCAATCCATGACTGAAGAGGCAGATTTTTTCCCGCAGTTGGTTGCCATTTCTTTCTGTAGTAGGCTAGTTGCCATCCAAGGCTATAGAACACGGTCTATCCTGCTATTTACCCATAGCTCGGGGGGGACTAGAGGATTCAAACCTTTTCCAAGGGTAATATTAGCACGTAAGTGAATGTAATGGATTCGACTGGCTCTCAGATTCCTCAATCCGGGCAGCTATCCATTACGCCACCGCTCCGTTTTGGAACAACGGAAGAATTTTGTTAGAAAGAAGGAAAAACATCGGAAGAATTTTGTTAGAAACAAAGAAAATCCATCTCCATATATGTTGAACAATCTCTCCATGGATGAGGAAAGATACCAGAGGTAGTAAAAATGTGAGTCTACAGTAGGATACTGAGAATTCCATGGACGGAGCGAGAAAGCAACAAAGAAAACTTAAGGAAAATGGCAACAGAAAGAAGACTTATTCTCAAAATCAGAAAAAAGACAGTTGAAATTCCTTGGAAATATAATGAGGAAAGAAGGCTTAGAAAACTTAATCCTCGCCGGGCATATTGATAGCAAGAGTGATTGGGGAAAACAGCAAACCACTGACCTGACGAGGTTTTGTGAATGAATGATTGAAAATAGGAGAGATTAACAAAGAGAGAACTATCGGATGTCACAGGAGATAGAAAGTCGTGGAGAGTCATGATCGCCTATGTTCTGAATGGACCCAGCATATAGAGGAACACGAATATATATATAATTTAAGTTCTGCTGAAACATGCTCGCCCACGTCCGGAAAGGACATGACAGAGAGAGAGAGAGAGAGAGAGAGTGAGAGTGAGAGAGAGTGAGTGAGAGTGAGAGAGAGAGAGTGAGAGTGATAGAGAGAGAGAGAGTGAGTTAGAGAGAGAGAGTGAGTGAGAGAGAGAGAGAGAGAGAGTAAGTGAGAGAGAGAGAGAGTGAGGGAGAGAGAGAGAGTGAGTGAGAGTGAGAGAGAGAGACCCATCATTTTGGCCTTGTTCCAGAAATCAGTTAAGCATTGTAACAACTCAGAAGAGCTAAACAAAATACATGATTCTAGATATAGGTTTTCTTGTTTCTAATGAAGCCATTCATGAAATTAAATTCATATGGCTTCTGGGATGAAAAACCCTTACGAGGCGCTTTCTTTGCTTATCTCCTCGACATTGACATATGTTTCACATTTCGTGTTCATGAAGCGTACGGCTGACTTTTATTTTTTTTTTGTTTATCGCGTTAATTGCAAGATTAGCGGTTGAATAATAAAGATAATTGCTTTCAAACCTGGCTGTTTACTAATGCATCTACACTCACACAAACAACGTGGCCCAGCAATTTCTATATAATTTTACGGATTTTGTGGATTTACATGTCTTTCATATATATATATATATATATATATATATATATATATATATGTGTGTGTGTGTGTGTGTGTGTGTGTGTGCCCAAGTATAGGATTGGTGTATGTGGAATAAATTCCAATAACCCAAAAAAATAATATTCTTAAAAGAGTGCTCAATACAGAGTAGAACAAATATAATAATTTATTCGAAAATTATAACATAAATATTTTATAAAATCCCTACAAAAATAGCAGTTTTGTTTCAACATTTCTGGTGTCGTGTATAAAGTGATGGTGTTTAACACACTCACTTGAATAGACACCAGAAGTGGCGAAATAATATAGCTATTTTTGTAGTGATTTTATAACATATTTATGTTATAATTTTCGAATATATATATATATATATATATATATATATATATATATATATATATATAGCCACTTCAACAGTACTTTTAATGCCACTTCAAGAGTACATGTATAACAACGAATAAAGTGAAAAAAAAGATAGTTTTAAACATATATTTACACTGTTGTAAGAACGATTTTTAATCATTTCAACCCTAAGCAAGGCGATAAAGTCACAATGACACAAGGGGTTACTGAGAGTGAAAGGAGAGAGGACAATAAAATAACAAAATTCAAGGAGACAAACGTAGACAGTTGACATTGAAAAGTCACATCAGTTTATAAATCTTTCATAACTTAGAAACGCTAAAATCAACAAAACGAGAGAAAAACAATAAAAGAACAGGCAAATAAAGACTTACATTGCATTTTAAGATCAAATTTGACTGGGAAGCAAGTAGCTGGAAAATAGTTCCTCAAGCGAGAAGTGCGGGAAAAGTAACTGTTAGCTAAGTAGTTATGTTTACATATAGCAATTTCAAATGGAAAATGATGAAACCTAGTCATATGTCCCGGAAAGGCATATATTTGAGCGAAGTAGCTAAGTGGTTTTTTGCTACTATAACCAAGTAGAATATGGTAGCAGTAATCGACTGGTACGCGTCGTAGTCGCAGGTAAGAAGTGTAGATTAATGGCGTAGTCCAATGGGCATCGTTATAGACTTAGCTCTCAGACTAAGGCTCTTGACTCTCCTACACGTCCGTTGGTATTTATGACGGACACTAGCCAATCATATTCCAGTGAGGTGGGAACACAGGTGTACGCATATTCCATTATATCACCTAGCTACCTATTAGTACAGTCGAAATAACAATGATGATAGCTCATCAGAACAATTATCACAAAAAAAAATATTTATAGAAAAAGCTGCAGGAAGCTAGGTTACGGTGGTAAGAGAGTGATCGAAGCTGAGATACCAGGTCAGGACCGATAAAATTGCAGATGCTTCATGGGATTTTGTCAGGAATCTCTATATTCATAACGAAAGAACCCCACCAAATGTGTTAGTAATATTCAATGGATGGACAAATGGCAGACTTAAAAGCTGGTTGGTTGATTTTGTTTAGCAGCATATCAAACTATGGGTTTAGCAGCATATCAAACTATGCCGAAATCTAAGAATTCTAAAAATAAGTTTATGGCTTCTACTAAATATATTCTGAACGCAATTGTACACTGACTAAGGATTAAATTGTTTTGTTGGTAATTTTAATATAAATAAGAATTGCTGGAAAAGTTTTATATGAAAATATACTGCTGGTAATTTTTACTATAAAATGCTTTATAAAGTTTTGTTATTGTTTGGGCTTCACTATTTGCCCGTAGCTGGACCCCGGATCATGGTGGACCTTGGAACAACAGCAATCAAGAGGGGGTTTCACGCTCTCTCAAAACCTCCAATTAGCCGATCAGTGGTATCGTCGTATTGCCTTTGTGTTCATGCTCAGGACTAGACTGAAAGGTGAAACATAGATTCTAACGAGAAACGACCCAGTGAATCAACCTTCTTGAACGAGCCAGTGAACGAACCTTCCTTGATATATGATTCCATTTTTTGTGACTTTATGGAACTGTAGTCCTTCTTGTTTATTTCAGCTTATCTTCGATGGGTTGGTTGGTAAACATTTCAAGACACTCAAATAATATATCTTTGGTTAAAGCCCAATGAAGTTTATTTGTCATGGCTTTTTCATCTGTTTTTCTATATTTCTGAATATTATCCGAGATTGATTATATATATATATATATATATATATATATATATATATATATATATATATATATATATATATATATTAAAATTAATTGATTTAAAATATGGATTATTATCGCTACACAGTTCTATTGAGGATGGAATGGAACTAATGTCTTTAATTTAATTACAAAATTAAATTCAGGACTTTTAGCTTCCATTTTTGAAACATGGTTAGAACTGTGTAGCGAAAAAAACATATTTTAAATCAATTAATTTATAATATTAATGATCTGTAAAATTACATTGAGCACTATTTTGTAAAAATAAAAATATCTATAAGAACACTGGATTATATATCTTTACTTTTCTTTATATATTATATATATATATATATATATATATATATATATATATATATTATTTGCACCGACTGTGTGTATCAATAGTTCCGAAAAGTGTGATGGTTCTTCACAAGCCTTCGCATCACTTTTTGTGGATTTTCTGGCGGTTTACCTTGATTCGTTCTTATCAAGAGCAATATCTAAAAGGTCTTCCAATCTAACAGTGATCTCATCTCACAATCCTCACACTTGCTCCATATGTGGCCTCCTTTTGTAAATCACTAGCGGGTCTCAAATGCCACTTAAGATTAGCGCATAAACTTTCATAACTGAATCAATAAGCTGTCAGATCCTCATACGTCGAAACCGACAGGAGAGTCCATTATATATATATATATATATATATATATATATATATATATATATATATATGAAAGGGTCCAGGTGTGCTTCTTACAGCATGTAAAATAGGTTAGTTAATAAAACAAAGACAAATGAAAGGGTACCAATATAATCAGTATGAAAAACATTTATTAAATATTAATTATTAACCATATGATAGAAATGAAGCACGGAAAAAAAGGTTTTAAGACCGGCATTTTCGGACACGCCTTTGTCCTTCATCAACGGCGCGAGAAATTAACAGATAAAGGAGAATTACTCACCGACAGATGGTTTTATGGACGGTGTGTGTATATATATATATATATATATATATATATATATTATTTATTTAAAAATATGATTCCAAATCGCGACATAAGAAGTCCCATGTTTCAAAACAAGAGCCGAAAACTTCAAAATAATTATTTAAATTATTTAAATTAAATTGAGTTAAAATAAGCTCTGTTCCATTTTCAAGCGAAATTTTTTTTTGGAATAACGTGTTTCTGAAATTTACGTGTTTTAAAAATTGAAATCAAAATTTCCATGGTAACAGCTATGGCGAATTGTTTAAATTGGGTAGGCGGGTGTTGGGTGTTAATAATAAGTATCAGTATAGAGTTACTTTCGTAGATGTCAAGTCAGTGAAAGGTGGGGGGTGTCTAAATTTGAAACGGAAGATGTATTAACCCTCGTCTAGTTTGCATGTCTATGGAGATTTATTTATTTTTTATTTTATTTTTTTATGAAAGGATTTGTGCATATAAAAAAAAAAACAAAACTGTCGTAACGTTTGTTTTTGACGATATTATATATATATATATATATATATATATATATATATATATATATATATATGTTTTTTTTAATATATAATGATCGCAACATTGAAATTCCCATGTTTCAAAACTGAAACTTCAATTTAAATTTAATCATACGAATTATACAAATTAAACTTAAAATAAATTGTTCCGTTGCCATTATTAAGTGATGCTAAGAATAACTTTTTAGAAACTGATTTACTTAATTTATAAGTACAGAGAAATTTGATATTTTGAGATGTAGGGTTTAAGGTAAATTTCATTTTTTTTCATTTTAGGAGTGTTAAAATTTAACTTATTTAGAAAACTTATGTATCTAATGTATTGTAGCTATCGAATCGGTTATGTAAAGGTGGGGGCTGGATAGAAACATATTTGCCATTTTTTATTTTATTTTTATTTTTATAAATTTCAATTACGACTTTTTCAAAAAGGGTATTAAATATTTACATTTTTATTTGTAGGGACTTAAGACATTTTATTTAATTTATTTGCTAATTGAGTACATATATGGTAATGCGAAAATTAATATATTAGAATCTAATTATGTATTCATAAACTATCTTATATATGATCAAATATAAATATGTTACTTTCATTTTTTTTTTAAATATCTATTACTTAAAGGAAAATTGTTCTTTCCTAGTATTTTAATATATAAATATATATTCTGTTCATACGTTATTTTTATAGATACAGATATTTAACCGAATGCTCAGTTTATAATAAACAGTATTAACGACATTTCCCGGCCTGAATGTGCGAGAAATTTTACAGAAAATATGTGTTCTCTGACAGGAATCGAACCTGTATCCTATACAGAACCGTTATATGAAGTATCTCGGACAATCAGGACAGTAAATGTTGTTAATACTGTTTATTATAATAGAGAATTTACTTAAGTATTTGTTTCTATAAAAATAACGTATAAACAGAAAATATATTTAAAATAACAGTCAGACTTAATCAATTTCATAAAATACATT